TTTTTACTTTTTTTTTTTGAGAAAGAGAACCTCACTAAATTGCTGAGGCTGACCTTGTGATCTTCCTTCCTCAGCCTCCCTAGTTGCAGGGATTACAGGTGTATACCTGGTTAGTGCCTCACTTCTAATGAATAGAATAATCAAAGTAATGGTATGTCCAGTGATCTGGGAGTCTGAAGCAGAAGGATTACAAGTTTAAGGCCAGCCTCTGCAATTTAGTGAGGCCCTAAGCAACTTAGTGAGAACTAGTTTCAAAAAGTAAAAAGAACTGGGGATGTGCTTCAATGGTAAAGTAATTCTAGGTTCAATCCCCAGCACCCTAAATAAATAAATAAATAAATAAATAAATAAATAAATAAAGTGATGGTATGTGACCTGTGAGTCCAAAGCAATAAAATATTTTGGGGCTGGGCATGGTAGCACATAACTGTAATCCCAGTAGCTCAGGAGGCTGAGGCAGGGAGGATCATGAGTTCAAAGCCAGCCTCAGAAATTTAGTGAAGCTCTAAGCAACTCAGTGAGTCTCTACAATAAAGGGCTGGGGATGTGACTCAGTGGCTAAGTGCCCTTGAGTTCAATCCCTGGTACAAAAAAAAAAAAAAATTGGCTTTGTCTTCCTCTTTCTCTGAAGACCCTGCCATGTGAGGACCCTCATCAACCCTGTGTAGAGATTCATGCAGTGGAAAACTAAGACCTGCTATAAATAACTACATGAGTGTGCCATCTTGGAGGTGATCTTCCAGCCCCAGGCAAAAATTCACGTAACCGCAGTACCAGACAACAAGTAGACTGAAACTCATCAGATATTGAGCCAGAACCATCCAGAAAAGCCACTCCTGAATTTCTGATTATCTTTTAAAGTCTCTAAATGTTATAGTCATTTGTTATATTGCCATATAACTAATACAGAAGGCAAAATAAAGATATTTTTAGACAGACAAAAGGAAAGAGAGAGTTCAGAACCAGCAGACCTGTACTAAAATAAATTCTAATGTAAAATTTTCAGGTGTAAGGAAAATGAAATCAGATGGAAGGTAAGAGCTAGATAAGGAATGATGAACACATAAAATGGTAAATATATGTGTAAATCTAATGTTTTCCTGGATTTAAGTTACTGAGGCTGACCTCAAATTTATAATCATCCTGCCTCAGCCTTGGAGGTCGCTGAGATTATGGGCATCCACCATTGGGCCTGGCTATATCATTAAATTTAAAAGTACATTACAACAATAAGAAAGCATAAATATGGGCTGGGGTTGTGACTCAGTGGTATAGCGCTTTGGTTCGATTCTCAGTACCATATAAATAACTAAAGATATTGTGTCTATCTACAACTAAAAATTAAAAAAAAAGAAGGCATAAATAAATGGAGAGATATACCATACCATGTTTATGGATTGGAAGATTTAATTGATGTTAATTCTCCTCAAATTGATCTATAATTTCAATACAATACCAATTAACATATCAGCCACCTGTCTTCCCCCAAATTAACAAACTGATACTAAAATTTATATTGAAAAAGCAACAGACTAGCTAGACGTGATGGTGCATGTTTGTAATCCCAGTGGCTGGTGAGTCTGAGACAAGAGGATTAAAAGTTCAAAGCCAGCCTCAGCAAAATCAAGGCACTAAGGGGCTGGGGCTATGGCTCAGCAGTGGCACACTTGCCTGGCATGTGTGAGGCACTGGGTCCAATTCTCAGCACTACATATAAATACATAGGATAAAGGTCTATCAACAACTCAAAAAATATTTTTAAAAAATCAAGGCCCTAAGCAACTCAGTGAGACCCTGTCTCTAAATAAAATACAAAATAGGCTGGGATGTGGCTCAGTGGTTAAATGCCCCTGAGTTCAATCCCTGGTACTAAAAAATAACCAATCAACCAAACAAACAAACAAAAAACAGACTAAAATAGTCAAAACTATTGTTTTAACAATTTCATAAAAGAACACAGTTGTGGGACTTTTACAACCTGATTTTAAGACTTACCCTAAGCCATAGCAAGGTTGGCAGACTGACCTACAGTCAAAGGTAGCCTGTAATCTGTTTTTGCCAGAATTTTAAGCTAAAACTCTTTTTAAATGATTGGAAAAGAAAAAAAAAAAAGAGGTGGTGAAACTGACTTTGTCTTTCTTAGTAAGTACTTTAAGAAAATCTCAGTCATAGCCAGTCCAACTGGTGCACACCTGTAATACCAGCAACTGTGGAGGCTAACGCAGGAGGATCACAAGTTCAAAGCCAACCTCTTCAACTTAGCAAGATCCTGTCCCAAAATAAAAAACAAAAAGGGGCTGGGATGTAGCTCAGTGGTAAAGTACTCCTGGGTTCAATACCTGGTACCAAAAAAGAAAAAAATAAGTTTGAATCATAAAAACAAGTTAGAAACAATAAACTGCTTAGTAACCCGTCTTTTGTGAAATGTTAATACTAAAGTTTTTTTGGTTTTTTGGTACCAGGGATTAAACCCAGGGGCATTTTACCACTGAGCCACATTCCTAGCACTTTTTAAAAAAAGATTTTATTTAGAGACAGGGCCTTGCTAAGTTGCTCAGGCTGACTTTGAATTGGGGATCCTCCTGCCTCAGGCTCCTGAGCCATTGAGATTACAGGAGTGCGCCACCACATACCCAGCTTAATACTAAAGTTTTAAAACTACTTCACATTTCAATGTATAATGTTAACAATTTCACATTACAAAAAATGAATACCTGTTAGCGCACTTTTTTTTTTTTTTTTTTCTTGTTATTTAACCGGCGTCTACCACTCAGTCTCATTCTCCCCC